AAAAAAAACCCTATTTAAACTAGCTTTTTTTTTCAGCACAAACAGTAGAATTACAAGAAAATTCCAGGACAAATGTCTAATGCCTGATATATTTCTCACTTCACTTTTTCATAGGTGTACTTTCTCTTCTCTGTGGGATTCTGGTGCTACTTTTACCTGAGACCAAGGGGCAGCCCTTACCAGAGACAGTGGAAGACGTAGAGAAAATGTCAAGGTACTGACTAAGTATCCTTAGAAGAGAATATATGTATCCTTAGATATTCTTGCATACCTGCTGGAAAATTCAGCCTTCCAATGATTAATTCTAGACTTTAGGTCTAGTTCAACAATTGTTGAGAGACTTAGCACAAACTCTTCGCTAAATACATGTGCATCTGTATGTGTATGAATTCATGCACCTACATATCCATGTATGCTTTTTTTTCTTAAAAAAAAAAAGACATGGCAAGGAGCAGTTTGGACTAGAAGCAGCATAGGAGCAGAGGGAATTAATCCCTCCCTCCCTCCCACAGCATGAGTAAAATTGTCTTAGCACAGATTTAAGCTGGTTATAACATGCAAATTTTACCTTCTTCCAAGAAAATGAAAGCAGCATTTGTTTTCAAACATACCATTCTAATTATCACAATTATTCAAAATAAGTGAGGCTAAAAATAATAGGTCAGTTTGTACTCACATTAAGCTATTGCTTATTTTTACACGATTTTGGTGATTAAGCCATAAAAGCTAGGTTCAACTAAGCCAGAATGGCTGAATTCATACAACATGCTAAGCCAAAACAAGTCACATTGTACTTATGGTGTCATGCTAGATGAGGTGGACTTGCAATTTTATCTCCTTGGTTTAGTCTGACCACAGCACCCCTAATTTAGGAGAGAGGAGAATCAATATTTATCGGTTCACTGGTACAGGAGGAAATTCATTTGTAACTTCATTCACGAGCCCAGTCTAAATGTGGTCCTCTTGAGCTGCCTATTTTAAAACATGCCAGTGCACATGTTACAAAGTAAGATTCAGTCTCAAAAATTAATTACTTTAAAGAAACAGCATTTCTGTTTAAATCAGTCTGCCCAATAAAGTTAATTGCTTATAAAACCTTTTTTCCCCTTCTCTACACAGTTTCAGTGTCTGTTGTGAAAAAAAACAAGCGGCAAAATTCCAGGAAAGAAATTTGACCTTTTGTTAATACTGCAAAGCCTCATGAGCTACCGGGTTTTCAAATTCATGACTGCTGGACACCATCTTCTTTTTGGAGGAGATGGATTCAAATGTGTCATAAGCCCTAAAAGAACCTTTTTATAAAGTAAGCATAGAATTTTTCTATGGGATAAATATGAACATATTTTCAGAATCTATTGTTTCCAGATAGGGAACTATTATAAATGGCTCTCATAGAAGAGTAATCACTTTCATTAAATATTTTGTTTTACTACAGGATCTTGGTTTATTTTTAATATATATATATATATATATATATATATATATATATGCCTGCCCTATCTCCTTTCTCTTTACTAATTTGCAACACGGGTTTTTTTTTTCTTCAAAGTATTCTCAGCTTACATGGAATCAACCAAAAGCCATTCATTTCATTCATTGGAACAGGATCAGAATGGAATTTTTAAAACATTTTCAAAGAAATATGTTCCTTATTTCAAAGGTACACATGAATAAAGACATTTTTACAAGAAGTGTAGGAATTAACTCTGCTTCCTATGGATTCAGAACAACAAGTGTATCACCTTTATCCTCAAAATAATGCTGTGGTGTGAATAAGACTATAAAATTGTTTCTTGATGCAGACTCAACATGGACTTTCAAGTTGGCCTGGGGATTAGAAATTAGCTTTCTGTTAGAAACAGCTTTCCATGAAACAGCACAGTTAGCATTACGAGCTGGTATTAAATTGCTAGCCTGACTCTGGATGCACCCAAGTTCCAGAGATTAGCCCAGCCACAATTTAAAAAGTTAAAGATGCAAAAACTGCAGGTGCTGTTAATACTTAAGTTTACTTAAGTTCTTGATATGAATGAAGCTGAATATATGTGTCTCAGGATAATGTTGCAGAATCCAATCTGGGTTGGTCACCGGGACCAAAGGTTTAGTCTTCCGAGCTTTTGGACTTGTGCCGGATTTGGATCAGACAGACATCAGGCTCACATAACAGATATGGAGAAGGAAATTCACTCTTTAGTTTTTTTTAACCATCCATTTCCAGAGGAAATTCCTTCCTTTGCTGGTTTTAGTTGTTTTGGGTAAAAGTTCCTCCTGAAGCAAAAGCCATTTCAAATTCAAATGTATATATACAGTAGTGACCAAAATTGTGGAAACATTTTGGGAAAAGTGTACAGTAGAAATGCCACCTTTGGTTAAGTTTCCACCAATTTTTCTTCTAATTTCTTTATAACTGTAGCCTTGTTCACTCAATAATACTATTTTACATCGCTTTCTGGGCAACCAGTCAACTCTTTGCACCATTACTTTAATTTTATTACGTTTTACAAGCTCACTAAATGAAAAAACACAAAAAAAACCAACCAACTTGATAGCGATCACATAACAGACTGACAAATGTCCTGCTCTCAGCTTCAATGCATGACATCAATAACTGAATCCTACTGTGATCTGATTGGCTCATTGCCAAAACAAGATGACACCTGATTGGCTCTCTAAACTCTCATGCTCATTGGCTACAATCAGATGAAGGAAAGCTACCTGATATCGACCTAAGCAAGTTGTGCTTCCTTTTTCTGGTTATTTGGCTATAACTTTTCATAGAATACAGTACAGATAATTGAACAAACTTTGTTGCATTACATTCTTGATTAAATTATCTTTCCATTGATATATAATTTTATGGTACTACTCCAAACAAAGTGGTGTTATTAACCATCAAACCTGAAAAATACACTTTTCCACATACAAAATTTCCACAATTTTGGCCACTACTGTAACTAACATAACTAACGTTGCTTGCGTTATAGCTGTGCGCTGAATATAAAGCCAGATTAAATCTCTTCTCTGATTTCTCTCTGAAGATAGATTTATGGGCCCGTTGTTTTCTCCTCCCACACCCAGCAACTGGTCAGAAATTATAAACTGATGATCAACTGACTTTGCCTGGAGAAAAGTAGCTGGCTAAGCACTGTGTCTATAAGGATGTAATCGTAAATACTGAATAAAAGAAAAAGAGTAAATTTTAGACTGCAATTTAAATGCTTTTGGATGCTTTTGAACAAAATGAATTAAAAAACTTAGCAACTTTAAGACTTGTGGACTTCAACTCCCAGAATTCCCCAGCCAGCATGACTGGCTGAGGAATTCTGGAAGTTAAAGTTCACAAGTTTTAAAGTTGCCAAGTTTGGAGACCCCCCTCCCCCAGACTCAAGCAATAACCATTTTAAGTTTTATTAGAATCTAAACAGTGGTCCCAGTCCAGCAAATACAATGTTTCTTGGAGTTGCACTGAATCAGAAACAGGCTACTTTTCCATTTAATATAATGAAGAGTAACAACCTCCCCATAGAGGCACTCCAAGTCCCTTGAACAATGTTTCCCTCTCTATCAGCTTGCAGAATCAGCTATAAGGCAGGTTTTACTCCTCTCCTGGGTTAGAGTAATGTTAGAGTAATGATCCACATTGAATAGGCCAAATGCACCCTTTGTTGTGCCTAAGAATCTCTCTCCCATCTAGACCAACCAACTTCTCTACTCTTGCTTAATGTCATGAAACATTTTGAAGCACCGAGCAGAATATCCTGTTCTTTGGTCTTTGCTTTTAAAAGCTAAACTTGTCTATTTTCTAGAACACGCTTTATTTTTTAAATTCATTTCTTGTATGCCAGATTTTTTTCTACACTCCTTTTCCAAATAAATGAGGTTTTTTTTGTAGTACACAATGATCTGTTTTGCACTGGGTTGTTCAGAAGTCTTGTTACAAACCCAAAAGCTCACTCAATAATTCTAAACCAGACCAATAATTTGGATTATTAGATCTGAACTGAAAAAAATTCAGACAATCACTAGATGACAGCAGAAGGTTCTAGAATTCTCTTGCTCTCTGCTCCTGATTAACTGCTTTGAAGCTCAGACTTCATAACCCCATTATAGGAGGCAATACTAAGATCAAAACTAGCTTTGCCTTAAAACCTCCCTTAGATTTTAACACTTTTTCTTCTTGAAGCAAAAGCCATCTCAATTTTTTCACACATACATAACTAACATTACTTGCATTATAATTCAGCACTGAATATAAAGCCAGATTAAATCTCGTATCTGGTTTCTCTCTGGTCAGTGACATGGTCCACACATTATACTGGGCCAGGCTTTCTTTTTAGCCATGGTTTTAGATGCACTCTAAAAGTGACTCAAAGCAAGTCAGACAAAATAATATATAAAACAGAAATAGTCAGAGAGGAATGTTGTATATGCACATTCAGTTATAACTTGGGGAAACATTTCTTGGTGAATTTTCACTCATGGTGCTCATGAAACAGAATGAGCAATGAATGTAAGGCAGCATTAAAGAGGATGCCATTTGTAGAAAGAATTGAATCTGAGCTTTCCACCATCATAGCCATCCAACACTGCTGTACAGAAATTTTGTAGAAATCCTTCTCCATCTCATCTTAAAAAAGAGTCTTTCCTTTTGGAGCCACATTGTATTCTTCTGGATACTAGGTAGGTAGATTGGTAGGTAAGTAGATTAGAGAGAATGATGATGATGATGATGATGATGATGATGATGATGATGATGGAGGATGGAGGAGGAGGAGGATTATTGATGGATGGATGACCTAGATGGATGCATGATAGATAGATAGATAGATAGATAGACAGACAGACAGACAGACAGACAGACAGACAGACAGACAGACAGACAGACAGACAGACGGAGATTAGAGATAGCAATAGCAATAGCACTTAGACTTATATACTACTTCACAGTGCTTTACAGTCCTCTCTAAGAGGTTTACAGAATCAGCATATTGCCCCCAACAATCTGGGTCTTCATTTTACCAACCTCAGAAGGATGGAAGGCTGAGTCAACCTTGAGCCGGTCAGGACTGAACTGCTGGCAGTGAGCAGTAAGTTAGCTTGCAATACTGCATTCTACCACTGCTCCTGATAGAAAGATGATCAGAAAGACAGACAGACAGACAGACAGACAGATGATAGACAGACAGACAGACAGACAGACAGACAGACAGACAGATGATAGATAGATAGACAGACAGACAGACAGACAGACAGACAGACAGACAGACAGACAGACAGACAGACAGTTAGATGGCCTAGATGCCATGTGTCCCACAGATCAAAAGTCATGCTATAATACCAAAAGTTTCCTTCTTCAGTGGCTATTAATCCTGCCAAATGCCAGTGATTCAATTTCCTCAGATTTTCTACATCATAACTAACACAGTTTACTGCTCCACAAACTCAGGCATCTTGTAAACCAGTGTTAACAAACCAACCAAGAAAAGGATGCTTACAGGATATTCATGAGATTTATTTTACATTCATGTAAATGGTTTCATTATATTGCACTTCACTTCTACTTCTTCTTCTCTCTCTTTGTTGATTTCGGCAAGAGGTTATGGGCAGCTCAATTTTCATTCAGTATTCTTTGGATCCATGGAATAAAGCGAGACACTCGCACATAAACACCAGGTTTCATGGGCTGGGCACAGCCCAGACCCCAGGAGGTGACTCCATGTAGCACATATCGTCCTTGCTCTTCACAGACCAGAGGTCCCCCACTGTCACCCTGGAACCAAGTGTTTAGAAAAAATGAACCAGGAGTGCAAGAGAAATCAACATGTGTAAGATGAGTTACACATCATTCTCACTGGATGACTTTTATTGCCTGACAATCTCTTACCAAGCTAATCACAAAAAGGACTTCATGAGGGTCAAACTAGACCCAAAGGGGGGATGTTATACAACATCATGTTATACAAATAACATGAACTGGATGGGTTCTTAACTCAGAGGATCACAGCAGATATTTATTTAATTAATTGGTTGATTTATCTCGCCACCCATCTCAGCATGTGCCTCTGGATGGCTCACAACATTAAAAGAAATAAAAGTACAGACAAAGATAAAATAAACAAGAAATAAAGCAAATAGTACTGAAGAATCATAAAAACATCCTCAATATAGCCCGGAAACATGGTTTCGGGATACATATGGAGATAAAATGAATCTTTTCTTCACTTGCTGTAATAATGAGAGGGAAAAGCCCTCTGAAGGTGGCATTTTCACTGGGAAAAACATTGAAATATCTTTGGGTTTATCTACGAAGCCAACATATAATACTAAAAGGTTTCCTCCTTCAGTGGTAGGATGGAAACATATCTTACCTGACAGCTATCAGATATGCCATCAATATTACCAGCACAAAGTTCATGGTTGCCGACTCTGTTATTTAGAAATTCAGGCCGATTACACACTTTATTTTCAATGACAGGGAATCCAGTCTCTTTAAGAAAGCCTTCTCCACCAGTTCCTTTGAAAAGCAGAGGGGAGGGAGGAAATAATGAAAGGAAAACCCATACAGGATAATGTATGTTTCCTGATCTGGTAAAAATGAGAGCAGATATATTCTTCTAGCTTGTTTGTTTTTTAATGGAAATGTTACTTAAAGCTTCAGGATGCAGGCATAATTTGTCCAGGGTATAAAACAAAACCAATAATATTCTAATATGCTCAGGGAAGCCTCATCATCACCAAATATGGCACTATATAAAAAAACTCCCTTTTTACCACCGTTATTCCCTAAAAATTCTATATGACTGGGAATTGGCAGCTCAGAAAATTAAAAAAAAAAGTATAATCCTTTGCTGCCATCTAGTGGTCATATGGATTTTGCAGTCCAAATCTAGTTTAGGAAATCCTCATTTAGCAATCACAAGTGAAACCAACACAGTACTTCAGCTTTACAGATCTGTGGTCATAAATGTGAGCGCTTGTCATAAAGTTACTTTTTCATCACTGTCATAACTGCAAATGGTCACTATTACTCTTAACCAAGTGTTTTGCAAAATATTTTCTTATTAAAATTATATGGCTGCCCATGTTAAAAACAGAAATGTGTCTAATTTGTGTGGGGTTGTATAATCTCTAATACAAGTAGAACTCCTTTGTTAAATTAATACTGATCTCTATCTCAGCCACCACTGTGATGGAATTTACCCACCCAAGAAACATCCAGAAGCCTGAAACATCCTATTGTAAAGTACACCCCATTAATAAAGATTGTTCTTCCCCAAATTTCCCATAGTGACTAAATTGTGTTCTGTCCAGATAATAAATATAAAAGTAGTCATTCATTTTCATTCATTCATTCATTCATTCATTCATTCATTCATTCATTCATTCATTCATTCCAAGTCTCCCCAGATGTATAAAAGATAAAATCCATCGATAAAAATTCATCAGTTTTATAAACTGATAAAAAAGATGGGAAGAGGAATGGAAGAAATGCAGTAACAGAATGGTGGATATTTTGGATTTTTTTAGCCTCTGTGAGGTTACTCACCTTTTGTGTCACCCCATCCCGTGACATAACATTCTGCCCCACCTGCTACAACAGCATTTTCTGAAGGCAAGCAGATTGGAATGACTTCATTGGTGATCTTCACTGGGCTGGAAGAAAAATGATATTTCATTCTAGTCACTCTATTATATTACCCTGTGCGTTTGTGTGTGTCCCGCCTTTATGTATTTTTTTGCAAATAACCCACCGTGGCGAAACCCATCCAACACACTGCCCCACAACAACAACCCTGTGCGGTGAGCTGAGGCTGAGAGAAGGGAGTGACTGTCCCAAGGTCCCCCAGCTGGCTCTCATGGCTGAGGCAGGACTTGAACTCATGGTCTCTTGCTTTCTAGTCTTGTGTCTTAACCATTAGACCAAACTGGCTTAGTAGCGGCTGATTGGTTAGTTATTGGATGTTTTTTAAACAAAACATTCCTAGGAAGCTAAAGTTTACACCTTGTGAAGTCAGCTCATTTGCTAGTTCCTTAAGCACATGAAACTTCAGAATTTGATCTCTAAAAGGAATATAAACATAACGTTTACATAAATGCAGTAGCTGTAATTGAGCATTGTATGGTATGACCGCAAATAGATATCTCCCTGTCTCAGCTAGTCTGTTCTTCAAGTCAAACAACTCTAGCTACTATAGTCACTTTCTGAAAGAAAGATAATCCTGTATAACAACAGGTAAGAGGGTTGCACTTCACAATTAGCTTTGAGCCATCCTTCGTAAAAGCGCTGTCTCCGGGAGACAATCCTTGATATAACAGAATGGAATCTTAATGTTGTATGAATAAAGAACTAGAAACTATTAACTAGTTTCAGCATCGTTGTGGTCTCTAGTGCAGTGTTTCTCAACCGTGGCAACTTTAAGATGGGTGGGCTTCAACTCCCAACTCCCATGCTGGCTGGGGAATTCTGAGAGTTAAAGTCCACCCATCTTAAAGTTGAGAAACATTGCTCTACTGTGGCTCTTTTGTGAAGTCAGCCTGTTTTCATGCTATTCCACATTATCACCTATTTTCCAGCAAAAAACCCACAAATACCTCAAAGGGATCTTCCCAAGTGGGCTGAAAAAAGCCTGGGTTTTGAAATGAGATTCAGGTGGTCCTTGACTTGCAGCCACAATAGAGTCCAAATGTTCTGTTGCTAAGCAAGACAGTTGTTAAGTGAGTTTTGCCCCATTTTACGACCTTTATTGCTACAGTTGTTAAGTGAATCACTGTCATTGTTAAGATAGTGAATCTGGCTTCCCCATTGACTTTGTTTGTGAGAAGGTCGCAAAAGATGATCACATGACCCCAGGACACTGCAACCATCATAAATATAAACCAGTTGCCCAACATCAGGTGACCATGGGGATGCCACAAGGGTCGTTAAGGGTAAAAAATGGTCATAAGTCACTTTTTTCAGTGCCATTGTAAATTTGAACAGTCACTAAACGGACTGTTGTAAGTCGAGGACTACCTGTCTTTATACTTCTTAGGAAGCGAAGGAGCAAGAAAGGGTATCAAGCTTGGGGGGGGGGTGAGGTTAAGAAAAAAGAAAAGAAAAATAGTAGAAATTTCCCAAATTTAAGCTGGAATCTAGCCAAAGACAAAATTTCCGGGAAATGCATTGTCTGTTCCAGGTTGAGTTTACTTATACTCATATTTCTCATACTTGGTAATTTTAAGATGTGTGGACTTCAATTTTCAGAATTCTGGGAATGACCTCTGGGAGTTGAAGTCCACGCATAAGTTACCAAGTTTGAGAAGCATTACTTTAGACCAACTGAGATCAGATAACCAAAAACTTGAAAAACATAAACTTGTGTGGAGGGAGTGTTACTGCCTACCACCTTGAACTTTTGGAAGAACGGAAGGACATAAATCTAAGAAACAAGTAATAAAAATAAATCACCTGGTAGAAGAAGAACTCTGCATTTTTATCATTAGTGGACCCAAACTTAGATTCTCATGCAACAAAAGCACCAAGTGCTGTGTACTGTTGTTATAGATTGCTGGTTATATTTGTTTCATATACATTAGTATTCTTACTCCTAAATTGTACATAAACTAATCTATATCAAAAAAAATTAAAAAAAAAGAACTATATGGATATTCTTCTATGCCAGAAGCTTACCCCAGTTTACAATGATTTTGTCCATAACTACAATGCCACTTCCTGAAAACAAGAGGCACAGTGTGCACCAATAAATTTGGAAACTACTTCAGACAACTACTGGCCCATAATGAAATTGGATCAATTCAAATGTCATGTTAAGCAATGTTAGTATATTCACAGCAAGGAGTTTTGGAATGGAAGATAGAGAGATTATTAAAGATAAATACGGTAGCCCAAAGGATACCTGCTTAATTTCAGCAAGGCAATGTCTGCCCTGTTTGGTTCTTTGAATATTTTCAGAACATTGCGATGCTGGGCAGATGGTTCAGAAGCTGTCTCCGTGTGCAGGCCAAGTGACACTTTGTAAAAGGTAGGAGTGGGTGACCTAAAAAAAAAAAAAAACAAATTTCCCAGGTGAGAATATCTTCATAGATCCACAACTCAGTTAGATAAGAAGAGGACAATTCAATGAGAATTTCTGAAGACTGGAACCATAGCTGGATCTGTGTTATGTAAGTCTGCAGGTAGGACAAATTGGGTCAGGCTAGCTCTGAGAACTGTGAAAAAAAATGTGCTGGACTTAACAAGCTAAATGACTAGAATTCACTGTTTCAGTGGGAACCATTTGGGGGAATTATGGAAAACCAGAATATCAGATACCAGGTATCAGATGCCAATGGTTATTTAATTATATTCACTTACTAAATGGCATTAATTGCTGTTAATCTACAATGTATACATCATTGGTTGAAGTTATTTGTTCTTTATAGAGAAACAAAGGAATGTCTGTGGAGATTCTCAGTCATCCAGGTCATAGTTATCCCAAAGGAGCTTTTTCACGAGGCAACTGGACATTCTTGTTTTTCTTTGAAGGCGTTTCGCTTCTCATCCAAGAAGCTTCTTCAGCTCTGACTGGATGGTGGGGAATGGAAAGATTTATACTCCTGCAGACAGCTGTTCATCTTTAAAAGAATTCAAATGAACAGCTGTCTGCAGGAGTATAAATCTTTCCATTCCCCACCATCCAGTTAGAGCTAAAGAAGCTTCTTGGATGAGAAGCGAATCTCCTTCAAGGAAAAACAAGAAAGTCTAGTTGCCTTGTGAAAAAGCATCTTTGGGAGAAACAAAGTAAGCTGAAACACGAAGCCAGACCACTATTCCATACTATACTGTACAGCTCAGTATTACCACTCTGCCACTTGGCAAGTGGTTCCCAAAGCTTTAGATCAGCAGCTCCCAAACTTTTCTATACCCCGCACCCCTAGAACACTTCTGATATATTCTCGCACCCCTTACAAAAGTCCGAAATAACGGCAACAAATTATGCAAATACAGTATAATTTTGAAAAGCCAAGTTTTTGCACCCCCTGGAATATCGTCTCGCACCCCCGGTCGGGAACCCCTGCTTTAGATGCAGGCCCTTGCCAGCTCTGGACAGAGAGGCCAATTAAGTAGGCCAATTAGGCTGGCTTTTTGTGTATCCAAAGCAGGATCTTCTGACCCTGGAGCTACAGCTCGTTTTCCATGTGCAATGACTCAGAGAAAGTAGCTGAGAAAGAGAGAAAATATATGAGGGGTCCTTGGTGTTCTCTGAGCTTGGTTGGCTTCTTGCAGACGTTTCATTGACCAAACTAGATAACGTCATTACTGCTAGTAAGGAGTGGGGTTTGTTCTTAGTTTATATTCTAGTGACTTGCCCTGTTAGGGTTGGGGGTGGGGCTGGTCTTGGAGGTTATTTGGTTGGGCTGTTTACTGTTAGCTAGTTCGGCAGTTCCTTGATTGGGGTATTGTTTATTTCTTGATTGTTGATCTTTCTGTTAATCTATGCTCATCTGGGTAGTGACTTCTGGTGGAGAGGTGTTTTGGGATTTTTTTTTAATTCCCTTTTTGGTTTGTTGATTGTCTCTTCTGCATAGTATGATTATACTATTATACTGCATGATTATGTCTTATATGTCTATTTTAGAGAAAACATAGTCTGTCCTTTTTGCCATCAGGTTCTTCTGGGAACACATTTGGCAGGTATGCCAGGCCACAATGGAGACGTTTGCACAACATGACAAAGCCAGATCCAAACAAATCATATTTGGAACAAACTGTGAACTAGCCACAATTTGTTATCTATAAGGAGGTTTTGCTGTCATTCGGTCATTTCCAATGGAAAGCTCCCCAGCTCTGTTGACAATGTATTAATTCTCAGAAATTACACATTGCTTTTTTCTACTGATTTCTGCTACTTGTTTTCCTTCCCCACCCCCAAATAATTTCCTAAGAGCTGACAATCTTGTATAACATTGAAATTTCTAGTGTTATGGTAAGATGTCTGTACATCCAACAGATTGCCAGCTGCAAACAGATTAGAAACTTGTGTTCTCAGAATTGTGTTGAAGGATGGGATATAAACCAGAGTGAATTAAACTCTGAACATGGCTAATGCTAAACTAAATGGCATATTTATCATAATGGCAGATTTGCCATAATCTGACGAATACCTGCTAGGGCTAATATAATGGGCCCAAAATGATCCATGTCACCACAGAATGGTCCCAAACAGACCCAGAAAGCTCTAACCCTTTGCTGCCAACTGACAGTCAACTGAATTTCTGCAACCCAGGTACTGCATCCTGGTGTTTTCTACCTGTGGAGTGACCACAACTTCCAGAATTCCCGGATGGTGAATTTTGCCAGTTGACATTTCAACCCATTCACCCAATAGCATTGGATTTGGAAAATCTGGTCTCTTGCCCAAGGAAATTTTTATTTTTATTTATTTATCATATTTTGAAGCTGCCCATCTCCCTTAAAGAAGGACTCTGGGCAGGGTACAAATAAAGGTTTTACCGGTCTAAGCAGTGAGTTGCCGTCAGAACCCATTGTGGCTTTATTAATGTGCCACCACAAAAATGTAGATTGTTGTAACTGAAGAAAAGAAAAGAAAACAGAAGATTAATTTTACAGTAAATAATTCACATAGAAATCAGAGGCTGTCCATTCGTCATTCAATCTCCTCATTCTCAAGCATTACACAGAGCTAATACCAGCATCCATGAAATGGTTTAAATTTACACAGTTACACAGTTCATAGCAAACTGAATGGCATTTCTTTTCTTGCTTCTTTTTGACTAATAAATTTAGAGAGTGATGCCATGTTTGCACAGCAGAGTCTTGTACTACCTTAAGTACAAGATTTATTATGGCTTTAGGCTTTGCGGATCAATCATACAAAGGGATATCTAAATTAACAATGTATTACAAGTAGATGAGAAACAGGTATGAACCATTAGGGAAAGCAACAATAGAATGCAAAAAGCACTGTTTCAATAGTACAAGGTAAATGTGAAGAGGATAATAATTGCTCATGACACTGTTCCAAACAAGGATAAAGTTGGCTAGTGCTAGGATGGGAGACCACATGGAGATCTCACAGTTGCATGCTAGACTTGGAAGTTGAAGGCATTGGCAAACCACTTCCAGGTATTACTACTAAGTCATGGATATATAGTTCCCAGGAGTCAAATTCAGTGGTAGTCAACCTGGTCCCTACCGCCCACTAGTGGGCGTTCCAGCTTTCATGGTGGGCGGTAGGGGTTTTGTCCGATACTGAAGCACTTTCCTTTTTTTAAATTTAATTGACTTTTTAAAAAAAATTCATAGCATTTAAAAACATTTTCATTAGGTTTTCATAAAATTCCCCGTGACAACAGTTCAACAATTGTGGAATCAGGCTTTAGTGCTGTTAATCATATTATGACCAAAGAAAGAAACCACCTGAATATTTCCGAAAGAGGAGACCTTTGTTTGTTCCTTACAAAAATTGAGCCAGATATCCAGTATTTAGTTTCACAGCATCAGCCTCAGGGATCTCATTAATAATTTAATTAATTAAATGTAATTTCATCAGACTTCATGCTTCTATGTATGCAAAGTATAAATAAAAAGATAGATTTAACTACAGTAAGTTGTTTTATAAAGATTTATTCTGCCAAACTTAGCGAAAGTCTGACATAAAGTATTTGGTAAGTAATTATTATTATATGCTTTAACTTGCTTTATAAATTTTATAAAGTAAAGTTATTTCCCTACTTTATAAATCACCATTACTGTGGAACTGGTGGGCGGTTAGAAAATTTTACTACTAACAGAGATACAAAAGTGGGCGGTAGGTATAAAAAGGTTGACTACCCCTGCTTTACGTCTTTATTATTATTGTTAGTTTTATTATTGTTGTTGTTGTTACTAGTACTATTATTTTGAATGCACTGTATACAGTGAGTCCTTTCATGTAGCCAATCCCAGGCCTACCTCTACTGTTACCTCTATTGAAGTCAACATAACCAGTTGACTCTCTTCCAGAGAAGTGAATGACAAAGTCCAGGATATTTTATACCCTTTCAGGCTACTTTGTGGCACTATCACAATAAGAGAAGAAATACTATTTTAATAAAGTTGTAGTTGAAGGCAATTTAGGCCTGTCTCACTCATGGGCTGGGGAGAAGCTATGAAACCAACATCATGGGATAGTGGCGGAAATGATGTTTCCACTGTTATGTTTGTGCCATGGGTAGAAGCAGCTGGGGAAAGATCCTGAGTGATATAACACTGCACAATTAACTTCTCTCTTCCTCATCCAAAATGATGTCTGGAGATAACCGTATCTGCATGTCAGCCACAAAGGAGAAGGCTCGGAGAAGGAATGCAAACATGGGAACACCTGGCACCGAGATTTCGTGAGAGGATAAAGCACGGGTGTCAAACTCGATCGCATCATGTGACGTATCGTGACGTATCGCAATGTTTTTTGCCTTTGTGGAGCCGGGGTGGGCGTGGCCTGAGTGTGACGCATCTGGCCCACGGGCCGCCAGTTTGACACCCCTGGGATAAAGGCTTTACTGCTTGCTTGGAAGCGAAATTCAAGCTACTTTCACCCATGTGGAATAATACGTTTTGTCACTAGCTAAGGTATACAGGTAGTCCTCAACATATAACCATAATTGAGCCGTAAGTCATGGTGACCATAAAGAAGGTCACCACGTGATCTGATTTGACATTCCTAGTTTACTCAGGTGTGGTCATTAAATGCCACACCCCAATGATGCCCTTGACGTGATGGCCCGGTGCCTGGAGGCCGTACGGGTCTGGATGGGGAGAAACAGACTCAGGCTCAACCCTTCCAAGACTGAGTGGCTGTGGCTGCCGGCCTCCCGGCATAGTCAGCTGACTCCGTCGCTGACTATAGGGGGCGAAACTTTGGCTCCCTCGGAGAGGGTACGCAATCAGGGTGTCCTCCTGGATCCACGGCTGACACTAGAAGATCAGTTGACGGCCGTGGCCAGGGGGGCGTTTTACCGGGTACGCCTGGTTCACCAGTTGCGGCCTTTTCTGGACCGGGACGCCTTGCGCACAGTCACCCATGCTCTTGTCACCTCCCGCCTGGACTACTGTAATGCTCTCTACATGGGGCTCCCCTTGAGGAGCATTCGGAGGCTCCAGTTAGTCCAGAATGCAGCCGCGCNTCAGCCAGACAGTGCCGGCTGGCGACCCCCAGGGGGAGGGCCTTCTCGGTGGGAGCCCCCACCCTATGGAACGAACTACCCCCAGAGATCTGGGTGATTCCGGATCTCCCCTCCTTCCGCCGCGCCCTCAAGACATGGCTATTTAAGCTAGCAGGACTGGCCTAAGGGTTATCTTAATTTGGTTTTAAAATAATTTTAATAAGAAAAGGCCAATAATTAATATTTTATTTTAATTACATTTTAAATTTAGCATTTTTGTATATGTACTTGTTTTAAATGGCTGTAAGCCGCCCTGAGTCCGCTGGGAGAAGGGCGGGGTAGAAATTTAATAAATAAATAAATAAATAAATAAAATGGATGGAGCAAAAGAACTGTCTGCTGAAGCTCTCCCATTCATGGGCAGAAGAGAACAGCAGCAATGAGCTGGAGAAAAGAACTTGGTTTTTCATGATTCAATTTCTTCTAGCTTCTCTTCTCCAGCTCAGTGCTGCAATTCCCCTTCTTCCTGCCAGAGAACTCTGCCCCAAGCAGGCTTAAAACAATCCATCAGGCAGTGTTTTTGCTCTCAGGGAGGCCAAATGAAGAAGTCCCTTCGTGACAGATCATCCAACCCCTCTGAGAGCAAAACTGCTGCCTGATGGTGAGGCTCGGCCTCTCTGGCAAGCAGCATTTTTTGTTCGTAAGGAGGCTGGCTGAAAAAGGTCTGGAAATCCGGAAATCCAGGCAGAAATCCAAGCTTGGATTTCAGGATGGGACTTTTTCAGCCAGCCTCCTGGAACCAGCCAGGTGGCAACGGCTTGCGGCTTTTCCTTCCGGCTTCCCTAGTGACTTCCTGGGGAAGCCAGCAGGGAAGACTATGAACAGTGATCACATGATCATGAGGCACTTGGCAACTTGTCGTAAGTATGCATGCTTGCCAAATGCGTAGATCACAATTATGTGACCTTGGGTGTCCTGCAAGCTCAGCTGTAGGTAATCAGTCCCTTTGTTCAGCACAGTTGTAATTTCGAATGGTTACTGAACAAATGGTCATTAAGCAAGGACAAACTGTATAGAGAAACAAGCTTTGGAAAGGAAAGATGTGCTGCTATTTAGAACTTTGGGGAAAATAATCTGGTCCTTTAAAAAAAGATCTATAAACAAGTTCATTGAAAAGTTTCAAATAAGGAAGGTACAAGCCCTGAGTGATAAATAGAAGAATAAATGCACAATAAAAAATAGCAAATCAAATAGAACATGGGAGAAAAATCACAATCCAAGTCCAGAATATAACAACAGAGAAAGTTTTTTGCTTATTAAGTGGATGAGAAGTACAATAAATAATCCTATTATTTATTTATATCCCACCTTTATTATTTTTATAAATAGTTCAAGGTAGCGAACATACCAAATATTCCTTCCTCCTCCTATTTTAACCTACAACTGCAGTATGTGAGATATTTATATTATATATTATATTTAATACCGAATACGGAGACTGATTTGCCAGGGCCAGGAATGGGGATTTGAAACACAGCCGCCGACAACTCTTCCAAAACAAAGAAGGGGTGGATATTTGGCTTTTCCACATCCATCATCAGGAACAGCTGAAATATGAATGGGAAAGATATATAAATTAAATTATAATAATTATAATAAAATAATAATAAGATAGACGAATTTCCATTGTTTCTGGGGGAATAAGTCCAAAGCTTAAGAGTTAATAATTTCATCAATAGCTGAAGCCTGAAATAGTTCAGTTGGGGGTATCTGAAGTGCACCCTGTGTTTGCGTATGATGGGGCAAGCACAGGGAATTAGAGATGGCTACTGTGATCAAAAACAACCTTAAGATATTTAGTACAGCATGAAAAACTCTTTGGAATTTTTTAGTGTAAACCACTGAAATACTTTGATTGTCATGGTACATCAAGATCACAGACAGACAGATGGTTGGATGGTAGATCGATATAGATAGTTGATAGATCAGGTGATAGATGTTAGATGATAGACAATTGATGGATATAGATGGAAAGATAGAGATAGATGATAAATAGATCTACTATAGACAGATACAGATAGATAGATAGATAGATAGATAGATAGATAGATAGATAGATAGATAGATAGATAGAT